CAGTTATAACAGTGGTTTTGCGAACCGTAGTTTGGAAACTTGAGTGCTGTAACGCTAAATGAAGGCTTTTGTTGGGGAAAATCAAAAGCAGTTGATCACATCTTAATCAACCATTTGCTTCACAAAATGTTATACATTTTTACTACCTTCTAGTCAACTAGGTCTTGAAGTAAACCAGTTAAGTCTATACTTGAAATATTTAGGTCTGCCAAACAAGGGAGGTAGACTACTATTCCTACTATACCGCTTTATCTTTTTAAGACAAAGGGAAGTAATGTTTTATTTGCTTTATACCTTTCCTAATTTAATCAGCTGGAACCAATTACTTATTTTGATGCTAGTTTGACTTTTGATACATTAGATCTTGGTATACACATTGATTTTTAAATTATTGTTAACCATCATAGTTCACTTTGTTAATTGTAACAGGTATGAACATGCTATAGAGTTGTTTAAAAGATCGTGTGCAGGGTATTGTGTTGCTACCTTCATACTTGGTATCGGTGACCGACATCCAGAAAACATCATGGTTACCTCAGAAGGTCAGGTATGTGAATCAGTTATATATTTTTCAACTTTTCATTGACAGTTGCTTTGCATAATACCATCACATTGGTACACACATAATGACATGTACAAAAAAAAAATAGCCCTCTACATATTAATATCAGTGTAATCTAATGGAGCACAGAGAAACAATGGAAATGAAAAGGCTGATTGTCAAAATCAGGAGCCACAATGGAATAAATAAAAAAAAACTTATAAACTGTCAATGACAAATCATAGAAAAGAGCAGCCTAACAAATGGGCATTAGAAAGCAATGGCTTTAGAGAAATGACCTTTCTAAATAAATGAGACAGTATCAACTTCTCCATCACAGAGAGTAGACTACAGTCTTTCAGAACGCTTAAACTTCATCTGAATAGAATAAGACCCATACACCCAAGTCACTGCAGTCACTTACTAAATTGCCAATCATATCCTTTAAGAATGTCCCAACTTATCCCACCTCAGACAAACCTTAACAACCCAGAGTAACCAGTGTGGAGCAGCTTAGAAGAACAGCTTTCTATGTTTTCATATCATAAACTACAAAAGAGCTTACATCTCAGCAGTAAAAATCCGATTAGAAAAGAAGAATAGCCCTGAACACTAAGATGTTAATGTGCTTTGTGGTAGTGCAAATTGTTTCCTCGTAACAGCTGAACTAGAAATAATTTAAGACATGACATGTGGATCACAAAAACAGATGACCTTTATGTCATCTGCCCCATAGATAGCAAGGTCTGAAAGGGGAGCTTTACTCTTTACCTTGTTTATAAAATTACATATTATGGACATTTTGGCTATAAATCATCTTTACAGCATGGTTATTCTATTTTTATTCTTAACTTTTTAAAAATCATTTAGTAGCTTTGCTCTTGTACTTAGTCAAAAAAAAAAAATGCCACTAGTTTTAAAAAACTGCAATATTTATCTTGAAGTGTTTCAGCTCTCACACTTTTGTTTGTAGGTATTTCACATTGATTTTGGTCATTTTTTGGACCACAAAAAGAAGAAATTTGGTATCAACCGTGAGAGAGTGCCATTTGTCTTGACAGAAGATTTTCTCAAAGTGATTGCTGAGGGAGCAGATAAAACATCAAAGCATCCAGGGTTTAAACAGTAAGCTATAAATATATAATTTAAAAGTTTTTGTTTCCTTTGGCATCTAGCAGCCTTTATAGCAAGGGATTCAAAGTTTAACAGTTGTTATAGCTATTATGGGACAAGTACCACAGCCAATAACATTTAAGCTTTTTTAACTCCTATGAAGATCTTGCACTAGGGCAAAAAAACTCAATTAGTCAATTAGTATTGAAACTTTATTGGAGTTTTATCATTTGTCAGCCTGTTGTCCAAATGCCACATCACAGTAAAAATAAAACTTTTGTGATATTTTGTAGTTGACAGTTTCACAAGATAGAGACTTATAATTTAATATGACTATTTATAATTCCAGGTTCCAAGAATTGTGTGGTAATGCCTACCTCATTTTACGCAAGCATGCCAATTTGTTCATCACTCTGTTCACCATGATGCTTCAGTGTGGTATTCCAGAGCTGCAATCTTTAGATGACATTGGTTACATACGCAAGACTTTAGCAGTGGAAAAAACTGAAGAGAAGGCCCTTGAATATTTTCAGCAACAATTCCACAGTGCATACGGTGACTCATGGACCACTAAAGTAGACTGGTTTTTCCACAACTTTATACATTCAAAAACTTAGGCAACATTGAATTATCTCATGGCAACATTGGATTACCACAACTGTGTGATTAAACTATCGACCAGACTTTTGGACTTTAATTCAGGTCAACTCAGAATAATCTGTGTTGTGATTAAATCAATTGTTGAATATCTTCAGAGTGCATGTGTGTGTGTGTGTTCTTTTGATGTACAAGTGTTTACATCTCATGGTAAGATTCATAGGGTATTTGTTTTATATGTCATTAAGTTTTTTGGTAATTAAGCCTAAATGATCTTATTGATTTGTCCCAACTATTGTCTATTCTCTGTTATTTTTTTGTTTGCAGATGTTTTGAAAGTAAAATTTGTTTAATTCATTGATTGAAACCTTTTTTCTACAGTTCATTACAATGTATATTTGCTAACTTTCTTTCCTTGGCATTATTAAAACATTGATCTTTTGTTTGTATTCAGGGCTCAAACTACTTTATACCCATCCTAATGAAAATCAAAATTTCTATTCTAACGGTCATTATTGTCCTTTACATTGGCCAGCATAATAAAACAACAAACAAAAGTCTTCAAATATTTTGTTTCTAGAAATGTCTAATGTACAACTAAACATTTTTTATTTATTTTTTTTGGCATTCAACTTTAAGCGCTAAGAGAATTTTAGGCTATCAAAGAATAGAAAGGAATGGATAACAATGTATAAGGAGCTATCAGGAATCAAGCTTAATTATGTCAAACTTCCTCATGCCCAGAATGTAATTAACTTTTTCAAAACAAAGATTGAATTCAGTCCTCTTCTAGTACATAGAAAATATCCTCAACTTTGCACATATTTCACATTTTATGAAGGCGGAGCTTCATCAGGAAAACATATTTCTTGGGAATTGTACCAGTATTTTAGCTGAAGTTAACTATAAATAAATTGTTTAAATACATTGCTTCAGAATATTTTTTTTTCTAGATAAAAATGTCTTTGTGTAAAGTACTTTAAGTTTAACAATTTTTTAAAAGTCTTTGATTTCATTTTAATTTTAGAACACTTAAAGTTTGTATTGAGTTATGAGCTGCTTTTATTTTTTCAGTAGGCATTGTCTTTTTTTGCTTTATTAAATGTTCATTACTTGGAAATGTTTTATGAATTCAATATGTACACATTTTTTACAGTCCATTTCAACGCTAACGGCTAAATATTGTACTTAATCATGTTTTTAGTTTTTCCTGAATTTAAAAAATAAAAATTGGTATAATGGTTATCAGACATAAGAGAACTGAAAAGGTTCTAGTTTATATGAATAGTAGGCTAAAATTGAATTAACTTTGTTTAAAAAAATTTTAGTTTATATTAATAGAAGGTTAAAATTTGTATTTAATTGGTTTAAAAAAATTGTCTGGGTAAAATTGTTTTTAAAAAAAAAAGGCGGAAAAATTGAATCTAGAATTTAAAAAACAGAATAGATTCGTTGTTTTAAACAATAAATAATTTTCTATTCCATATAATTAAGACTGTGTGCATATAAGACATCATGACTTGTGCTTGTTGGATGATATCCTGGTCTGAACAGTACAGATATAGCCCACCATTGTCTTGTTAACTCAGGCCAAACTGATCAGCAGTGCCTCCACTTGGGTGGAAGAAAAGAAAACTATCCTATCCTTTGAAACTGTCCCAGACTTGCAGATCAGGAGAACCAGGTTTATGATAGAATCATTGTGCTTTTATCCAAGCCATTTAAAAGGGAGGATTTGGGCTTCTCAAGTTCATGCTGAAATAAGAGTTTGATGTTTTCTTAACAAAGGTATTGCCTATGTGAACAACAATCAAAAACACTTGAATGGTGATTTAATTAATATATGTGGCCCAATATAACAACAAATCACTAAATTTATAATTGCTCTGGTGAAGCTTATGGAAATAATGTTCAACAAAAAATAAAAGCCTTTTAATCATGTTTTGATGGCACATTGTTTGCTCTGGGGATTGACATTTTTCAGATAGAATAGTCTTGGGGACGAGTCTAGAAAGAAAAAAAATGTTTTGACTCTGATTTTGTGACATTATTGCCATTTATGTTCATTTCCACATTAGTTCCATATGACCTGAAATGTCAAGTACAATTTGTGTGCTGTACATTGTAAGTCATGTTAGTTGATCTTCCAGTTGGTAAGATTTAGTCTGCATCTTTTTTTTTTTTTATCATTCTTGTGTGTCAGCCGGTGGTCACTCTAATATATATAGTTATAATAATAAAATAAAAGTGGATCTCACAATCAAATGACAAATGTCATTTTGCCTGAATCAACCAGACTTAATTAGATTCACTGAAAACATAAGCCTTGATTAAACTTTTTTTTTTTTAAGTCCCTTTAAAATTTAGATTTCTCGCTTGAAAATGTGCAACTGTACAGAATTTTGTATGTACTATGTTATGTGTATATATCGAATAAATAAACTATTGAAATTTGATATACATAATGCAGAAGTGTAAAGAAAAAGAGGGGGGGGTGGAACAGACATCCAAATTATAGGAATTTTTCAACTAATTGTTTGTCGTAGTGTCTGATAGTTGATTGATCTTTAAGAAGTAAACATCAGCTTATCATCATCTTTTCTTTGCGTTCCTCAAGGAACATAGGGCCTCGATCAAGCTTATAAAAAGACCAAAATAAATGTCTAGTGCAACTTTCTACATAATAATTTCTAGATGTATCATAATACTTTCATTCTTAGGGAAACATCTTCAATCTGTTCATATTTGCACATGATTATACTTTCTTTTCTTTTTTTTTTTTTTTTGGTAGTAGAAACAAGATATCAATTCATATTCTTTGATATTTAAAATTTAATTTCGAATTTAAAAAAAACATCTTGGAGATACAAAATTATATTTCTATAGCTCTTTGTAACTTACTCTCATAGCCAGGACCATAGAGGAAATGAAGTTAGGTTTATATAAAGCTGTTAATTTTTGTGTTCTGGGATTTTATCTAGTACTAGTCTTGACTCATCTGTGTAGGCTCAGTTTCCATGTATATCAGAACTATTTTGCTTTCTTTTGATGAAATAAATGCTCATAATATCTTTTATTAATTAAAGATCATTATGTCTGTCATCATTGATCAGAGCATCCGTTATTAAAGATCATAACATTTGTTATTAAAGATCATAGCATCTCTGTTATTAAAGATCATAGCATCTCTGTTATTAAAGATCATAGCATCTCTGTTATTAAAGATCATGATGTCATGAAACTTTTGATTTGCTTTTTTTTTTCATCGTAACTATTTCAATTCTGATAAAGACATAGCTAGTACTTGAGTCTAGTTAAGGCAGGGGCCGACTGGGTGTCGATTGGGGCCTGGCATAACCACACTATTTGGCCCATAAGATATAATCATATATGTACTCCCAGTATGTGATGATGAAAATTTATTAAGTTTTGGTTTATTTTAATTATGATCTGCGTACTATGTTCACATTGACATTCTATAGGACTTAACACAAAGGGAGGGCGGTGGTATAGTGCTTGGATTATAAACCTAGTGGTTCCAGGTTCAAATCCTGGTAAAGACTGTGATATTTAATTTCGGTATCTTTGGGCGCCTATGCTATGAGTCCACCCAGTTCTAATGGGTACCTGACACTGGTTGGGAAAAATTAAAGTCGGTTGCTGTTGTGCTGGCCACATGACACCCCCGTAAACTGTGGGCCACAGAAACAGGTGAACTCTACATCAATTGCCCTATAGATCGCAATGTCTGAAAGAGAAACTTGACACTACTATAAAAAAAAAAGTAAATAAATAAAAAAGTGGTATGGAAGGTGGTGGTGGGGAGAGAAACTATCCCTTAAAATAAAAATAGATCGAGATTTTCGTAGTACTCATCTGTGGCCTATTTCCTTGTAGATATCAAATAACTTGTACTTCATCAGATTCATCCATGGTCGATCAGAGAGGGGGGACAGTAAACGAGATCTCCTCTCCACATGGCCGTTTTCCGCCTCTGGACATAGTGGAGAAATCACTACATTTGTGTAAATAATTACATAATTTACTTCATAGGCCTACGCCCAACTGCAAACCAGGTCCGTAGAATGAATTACTCCCGCATGCCTAAAGAAAAGCGTTTTACTAGAAAGTCCACACGGGCTCCAGCTACAATAGCATGCCTAGTATGTAGCTCAGACAGGCCTCACCAGCATCACGGGAGGCGAAGAATGCAGAGTCAAGCACTCAGATCCTGGATGACAGGAGTGAACTATTTATTGGCACTTGAAATCGTTATGAATATGTCGCCCATCTCTAATGAAACCAAACTACATTCACTAGTAGGGGCCTTATTCAACTCGGGTGTACAGCAACTATAGAAACCGTTTTCTAAATGTAATATGGACCACAGGCACATTTCTTATTCCATATGCTAGGACAAAGTCGAACAAGTGCTCCTTCTTCGCTAGTGCCATTAGAAAATAGAATGGGTTGCTGAATCAGCCAGGAAATCCAATGAACATGCATGGTTAAATTATCTATGGATACGCGTACGATGTAATTATCACCTCTTTTGAAGTAACGTCTGTAATTTATAAGATAAATGAAGGGGGGGGGGGGGGGACATGCCCATCTCAATTATCACTACCTCTCCTCTCGTTGCCGTGAACCGGAAGGAGTATGGTAATATTATTAGAGGTATACTAATTTTGGCAACTTACCGGGGGGGGGGGGGGGCTCTTCCATTGTGTGTTAACATCTTCAATAAAACCACCTTTGGGAAACAATATCTATTAACAAAGTGCTGGAACGATTGTGTCTGTAAATTTATTGCTGATGTTTATAGCCCATAGTCAATGCTACCCCTCCCCACACGCCAACACCCAGTTTGTCAAGCCTGGTTTGTGACAAGTGCCTGGTTTGCATAGTTATGTGAAACACTGCACTCATCCTTAATCGTCGGAATCGAAGACATTGCCATCGTATTGTATATTTGTTCTACATAGAAAAGGGAAAACAGGTTAACAAGTGCAGAATAATTAAAACTATAAGATTATCTTCAAAGTCAAGACATTATAAACATTAAAGATGGCGATGGTGTGGCGGCCTATGTTTGACTGAGTGACATGAATAGCTTGGATACCTTACTAATGAGTCTCGAGTGCGAATCTTTTAATCTTTAAATTGTAGATTTTAACTCGAGCTGAGTTGTGCTTGGTGAGTTAATGTCTAAAAAAAAAAAAAAAAGATTGGAGAGGTGTGCAGTGATTATGCAAGAATAGAACAAGTTTTAAATAATAATACTGATAAGATGGTAATAAGACCCTAGTCGTTCGATACAGGGTGTACTACTTTTGGCCTACTTCTGAAAAATATTCTGAGAAGGCCAATATTTTACACCATTATCAGAGAAAAATAATGATTACTTGTTTTAAGATCTATTAATTATATTGTAGAAAAATTTATTCATCACGATGACTAAAAAAATGGTCAAAATCAAAATATTAATGTGTATTTCCAAAACAGGATTCTCAACAAGTGTAAGAAATAGGTAGTTTTTTTTTTTTAAAAGTCCCTTATTTACCAGAAAAGGTTGTAATTTACATTCCTATGAGATCTTGTACTGAAGTCTGTTGACATTGACCTTTAGCATTTTAAATTATGAGTTGTGGCTAGCACACTACAAAAGTAGATGGCGCAGACTGCTGTCTACTAAACAAAAAATGGAGGGTTGAGGGATATGATAGGGGTGTATGTACAAAACAGTGAACACCTTGTCTCTTGATAAGTCTGATGCGATCTTACTCTATTGTCGCTCTATATTTATTTCTTTTTGTTCAATTTAATAAACTGCAATATTTGTAAACGTAAATCTACGTCCAACTCGTCCATATGCTTAGTCGTTCATGTTACTTATTAGATATGTAAATAATAATTGTATAAAAAAGAAACGTGTCTATATAGGCATATGCTTTTTACTCAATTTGTCTGTCTGTCTGTCTATCTATCTGTCTCGGATCAAGTTGAAACTCCACACAATTATTCATTGGCATATACCAGACACGAAACAATAAAAAGAAAAGTAACCAATTAGTCAATAAATTACTGGTAATTAAGTTATTATTCTGTTTGATACCATGAAGGGAAATTAATCCTTCAGCATTCACAGATATGGCTAAGTTTGTTGGGTTTAGTCCCCTTAAATAAGTGTTAACGCTATTTCTCTCCCATACATTCTCCGATCAAGTTGATACTTTAAACCATTATTGTTTTAGCTAACACAACATGAATCAATTTTTTTAAATACCCAATTAGCCAATTAATAATGGGTAATTAATTATTTTGATATCTAATAAGGGAAATAACGTGAACATTATCGATCGATATAGTTTTAAGGGCGGAGTTCTCCTTTAGATAAGCTTTTTTTTTTTTAATTTCATTTATTTTGCTTGTTATTTATTAAATTATGTACTGAACGCTGAGGCTGACAGAAGAATTCCAGTCTTTGAGAGTAAATGCTACAGAAAAATGTTGAGTATCAGACACCCAAGCGCGTAACGACTTAGCCACCGCGCCTCATGTTAGCATGAAAAAAATTGAAATGAAGTGACCTCAAAACGTTAAAACTAAATTAACGAAAGCCCCTCCACCCCCCCCCCTTTTTTTTTTTTTGCTGTTGGCAGAATGCAGGACAAAGTTTTCCCAAAAGATGATAATCTGAATCGATGGTAAAACATGCACGTTTACTTGAGCTACTGCCTGCCCACTCTAGGTATTTCAAACATGATGATCTATGTTTATTTAACTGATGGAGGTGACGACCAGGACGTAATAATCTTCATTTCGGAAGGAAGGCCCGAAGCATGTAAAACAAATAGATCTATATATTGTTGCAAACTTAGGCACGCGATTAAAGGCAACCTTGTTTCCAGGTGTAGCCAGTGTCACAAAGATGTCATACTGAAGTCAGGTACCTTTACTGACATTCACATGTAAATCTCTTGCTGCCTAATGCTGCCTCTACCTCACTGGTCTAGGGTCTGCCTTCGCCACACACATCAGTCACAGGTACCTTTACTGACATTCACATGTAAATCTCTTGCTGCCTAATGCTGCCTCTACCTCACTGGTCTAGGGTCTGCCTTCGCCACACACATCAGTCACAAACGTTTCAGGAACGGGTGCTGCTACTACCGACCAAATGACAAGACATTTTCCGCTCACCGGGAAATCCTTTAACACGGTATAACTCTTTGACTTAATTTTTCAACATAGGAACTTCTCAAGGCTAACCATGTATAGTTCCATGTGCTAACTATGTGTTACGTGCGTGTGAAAGTGAAATGGTGCGAATGCGTGTTGAAAGGGGAGATACGGGAATTCTAGAAACAAAATAATGTTTACAGTGTTAGTTATTAAATTTAGATTTAATTATTTATAAAACTATGATTTTGAAGTTTGTTATGAATGTACTGCTGAAAGAGTCTCATTACGTAACAAGACGTAACACCATGATATTGCATTATTCGTCCATCACCTATGCACTGGCACAGACAGTAGCAGTTTAAAACTCCAAATCTTTAATAGTCGTTGCTTTCATGTAATGAAATACAATCAATTAATGAAAAAAAAAATTTTTAAAAAGATACAAGTTTTTAAGTATAAACAAGATTACAAAGACAGTTTGTGTGAAAACACAAACTCAAAATCGTCCCCGAAGTGGTCCACCCAGGCAGGCTTCAATACCGTATTTTCAGAAAGAACATCCAAATGAAATTATATCAAAGACAAATGATAGATAAGAATGGAGAAAGAAGGTTGACAGATCTTGTGTAGTGCCCCAACGGTACAGCAGATCAAAGGATAGGTGCAAGTGAATGCAAAGTTAGATGTGAACCTGGCCTAACTAGTTCCCCTTTCAGACCTTGTGGTCTATAGGGCAGATGATGTAAAGTTCATCTGTTTTTGTGGCCTACGGTTAACGAGGGTGACATGTAGTCAGCGCAACGACCAACCACCTTTACTTTTCCCCAACTAAAGCTGGGTGGACTCAGGGGCGCCTAAGGATTCCGAAGTTGAAAATTCCAGTCTTCCCCAGGATTCGAACCCGGGGCTCCGGTTCGGAAGCCAAGCGCTTTACCGCGCCTCTCCTGGCCTAACTGAAGTCTTATAATTGATGTCATAGTTTTGAGGCGGCGGGACTTTCGCTATTGTCCAAAAAAAATTCACGAAT